ATGAATGGAGGTCAGTGGCTATAGATTTGGCTGAGTAGGGGTTGTGACTTTGGATAGGTCAAGAGAGATTGTCAGGTAACCAACATTGCTTTTATTGGAGATTTGGAAGCTCCAAGGAGAAGTAATGGAAAAGGAAAATAAAGCACAGTTAGCATACTTCTCCAATAACACAAAAGGACTAAACATGAGAAGTGAAAAACTTACTAGAAAGCTATCGATTCATGGAATGACGAATTCTCCTGTAAAGAAATGAATGACTATTAGAATGGGAAACCAATCTAAAGGAAAAAAAGGGTTTTTAAACCACTAAATGCATATCGTCACAAACCCACTGAGTGGGGTAACGGGATTTTGGATAGTCACCAGAGAATTAGGCAGACTCCCAGCGGAGGTGGAAGATGGAGCAATAACAAAAGAAGCAGCAAAAAGTGGAGGAAGCCATTTGAGAGCAAAAGTAAAAGGAATATGGAAGAGTGAATGCTTGAAGTTTAAGAAACGGCATAAAGGGCAAGAGAAGTTACCAGAAAAAGAAATAAGTTTATATCAGCAAAGGGCACTCAGAAACGAAGTGACATTTCAGTTTTTTCAAACATACCACGTGGCTTACATTACCAGCCATTGGCATGCAAGGGGCATTGCTTGGGCTAAATATGAAACATCGCTCAAATAGGTCACAACGCTAGTTGAGCTGAGTAATTAAAGCATCAATCCCAATATAAACAAAAGGGGCCGGCACCGAGGCTCAATAAAAGCCACAATAAATAAACATGTTGAAATCCCATCAGTTGCAAATATTAGATCGTTGGCACGAAGACACGATCTTAAATAATGCTGAAATTTATACCCAAGTATCTCGATGAAACGAGCTAGTTACCAAAATAAAGAGTATGGAGTAAAGACTGTGCCATGACTTTCGTGAGATCTCTAATTCTTCAGCAAAACGTGCTAAGTTTTAAGGAAGAGGCTACCTCTACTCTGACACTACAAATAGAAGAAGAAAATACAGAAGAAACTAGTCAACACTCAATCAAAGACTCATAATTTTACATTCATTAGCCCTTTTTAGTTTTTAGTTTTAGGTCTATAATATTTTCACATTTCAAAAACAATCAAACACTTATTCTACCAAAATTTTGTATCTTTTTACATCCGAGTAAATTGTGGTAAATGAGCTCGAGACCCTTTTGTTATCAATTAAGACTCATCGTCTCTGCCACGCTTGGTGTTTATTGTTCACCGTGAACACATAGTTAATGAGTTTAAATATGAGCAATCTTAAAAAAAAAAATTTATTACCTATCATGTGTCTTTTATTAAAGATAAAAAAAAACTCTTTTTTGAAGGTTCCTTACAATAGAATCTTTGGAGTGAGTATCTCCAAAATTGAATTAAGCACCACATTTACACTGCAAGATAAGTTGAACCACAAAAAGTAAATGTAGCTTTATACTAATTTTAAATATTTTGAGGAAATTGAAGATAGATCTTGATGATATTAGATAAAAGTTGGGTAAATTGGGTGTTTGAAAAAAAAAGAAGAATTTTTTTAAAAATACTATGATATAACCATCATCATTTTGGGAAGCCAAAAGCAAAACCAACAAATAAAGTAATCATAAAAACAACGAATAAAGTAATCAATGTATCATATAGTTCTTGTTAAAAAGTTGTGCTTCTATTGAAGTTAGAATGATTTTACAATTTCTTCCAATAAATTATTGGGATGATTATAATAAATACTTATAAGAGAAAATATGTTGCATGATATGGAATCCTTCAAATAAAATATTAGCAAAACAACATAGTATCAATAAAATGTTGAGAGACTAGGAAAGAGAGAATGCAAAACATAAAATTTATCTTGGCTTTGATTCTAACCATTTAACCTATGTCAAGTTCTCAAATTTTCACTTAAATTATTTTCACTATAAGCCACAATTAGAAACTGGGAATTGGGGAGCCATTACAATTTCTAATTGTTTTCTCATCTAAAAGTAAATGATCTTTTCAAGAAATACCTATGAAACAAATTTTAACTTTTATTAAAATTTAATGTATTTTGTGAGATACAACCAAAATATAGTGATATCAAAGATCATAAATAGTCTTGTGTAAAATCAATATTTCAATACTCCACTTGAAATATTTACATCAGTTTCATTTTGAGAAAGTAAACCATTTTTGAAAATTTATTTGAGTTTATTTTTAAATGAAACAACTTTTATTTCAAAATGATGCATACCTTGTGCGATATTGTAAAAATAGTGACCGAACACCGAAAAAAAAAGAGTAAGGGAAAAGATAATGGTAGAAAATCTAAAAATTATAGACAATGCCCCAAAAAAATAGACAAAAGGACCAAGAAATTTTTATTATTTTTTGGTAATTTTTAAGATCCTTTTCTATCATTTTTTGATTATTAACGGTTAAAGTTAACATTTATTAATAGTGATGGACCAAATTGCATCGTTTTCAAAGTTAAAAAGAAATATTATACAAAAAATGAACTTAGAATCATAGACGTTTTTGTACTTAAGGCAAATTTGCTCTTTTACCTAACAAAATTGATGTTGAAAATTTGTCAATAATATAAATTAAGGGGTACGTGTCATTTTTGCTCTTAAATTATGCCTTTAGAAGTACTAATGTCTTAAAACTTGTTTGGTTTTATTCTCATTTGTTGTTTGGAAAAACTATTTTGTAAACCAATTTCTAAAAAAATTATTTTTCAACAGAAAATGAAATGAAAATCCATTTGATTATGTTAACTTAAAACAATGAGTTAAAAAGAGAGTTGATGGTAGTGGTCTGATGATGTGGTCTAAAATAGTTGTTGATCATAATTGAAGATAATTTATAATATTTAAATGTAGCGTGCTGCTTTAAAAATAAAAAGAGAAAAAATTTCTAAGTTGTTTTATTTAAAAAAATAAAAAAATAGAAATAATTTTGAAAACTAAAAATAATTGTTTAAAACAAAAACCAAACAAACCCCTGTACTCTATTTTAGTATAATTTTTTCCTTAATGTTTAGAAAAAGATCATTTGCACCCATGTCATTGAGAGGGGAAAACGCCAGTTATCTTGGTCATATGGCGCCCACATTTTTTTTTATGATCTCAATGCCCTCTTCGGGAATCATCATTTTTCCTTATAATGTAAGACAAGGTCTTGTAAAGCCACAACACTTTGTCTTTTACTTTAAGAACACTACCCTTTCATTTTCGTGTGTGTGTGTGTGTGTGTGTCATATAGCAGTTGGTTTAATGATTTAATCAATGATAAATGATAATAATCAATAAAAAATATAAAATCTAATTTAACCAAACTATTCAAAGTTATAATCAATATGATTTATTTTAGAGTCCATACAAAGCACATGGTCCATAATCTAATTATGGATAAGTTATAGAAAATACAATAAAAAGTTTTTATCGCTCAATATGTTTACCAAGTTGTTTAAACAAATTTTGCTTCAAATATTCTATTTTAATTAAAATTTAATAAAACTTTCACTCTTAGATTGGCTTCAATGTAAAGTTTTTTCTTTCAATAGTGTAAGGGAATCAAAACTAAAGCTCGCCAAACCAAAAAAAAAAAAAAAAAAAAAGGGAATCAACATTAAATAAATTTTTCAGCCCGGCTACAGAATTTTATCCCACTCCCCATGTCACATCAGACTTTGGACTCCTGGTTTTTCTGACACTACATATATAGAGAAAAAAATGCACCTTCATTGTTTTAAACAGAAGATTGCTAGTTTTAAGACATTTTTCAGATTTATGCAATTATAATTTTTATCAGTAACAATAGTTAGCCCACAATTATTGTCCATCACTAGTATTTTTTTATTCTTTTTCCTGTCAATATTATATATTAATAAAATGATATTTCATAAGATATTTTTTCCATAAAATACCACTTTTAATATAATTGTTGATGATATATAAACTGAAAATATAGAATGGTCACATGACTATTAGCCATTAAACCAATATCTAACAACTTTTATTCTTCATATTGAAAACAATCATATTTGAGATATGATTAGATATTGATTATAGGCACTTCTTTCAACAAAATTTCAAACATTAATTCACTGTTTGAGAAATTAATCACTTCCACTAGATCCAACTCTTGTTGGTATTTTTCATCTTTATATGCCAGCCACTAAAAGGGTTCAATTATATCATACTTACATGGAGATTGGATTAATGATTAAGCCCAATAGGTCAAGGCTAAGAATGGGCCGGACTTGGCCCATGCTGGAGTAAATCAACCCAACATAGTTATGAATCCAATGGCCCAATGACCCGGCCTATAGCCAGGTTGAGTTGGCCCTCAACATTCCAATATCAACCGCACAAAAGATTTTGAAAAGTGATAATTGCCAAACTTGTTAAAATACTAATGATAATGAAAACAACAAATTATATAAAATATTACAAAAAAAAAACTATAATCTTTATTTGCAATTAAAATATTTCTGATTATTGAAAAACCATGGAAAATCACTCATAAAGAACCTTTTTTAATAAGCATAAATTTAAAGAAAGTTAATTTTGAAATTAAAGAAAATCATTTGTAAATCTGTAAAAAATCAATTATGAATAAATATATAATTTTATAAATATACAATGTTACTAGTAAGTTTAAGAATAATCACATGAATTTTAAAACAATTACTTGTGAATTTATAAAGAATTAATTGTCAATAAATTCATAGATATTGAGAGTTTCTAAATCATTGACTTACAATTAAGACTATTCATAATTTATTCACTGACATTTCATATATTTATACGTGACATTCTTTAGAATTTAATGACTTCACAAAGTCCATAATCATCATCTTCCCCAAGATTTTCATCATTTTTCATCTAGACCAATGGTTTCCAAATTTTCTATTCACCTCAAACTAACAAAAACAGTACAAGACTACATAAAAGGGCAGAGAAAAACAGGGAAACATATTGCAGAAATTTCTGATGGAACCGATAGACAAAAGAAATGTAAACCAAGCCTGTGTCTTTGACTCTTTGGATTGTTAGCTTAATCCTCAATTTTCTTTTCGGTACAGAAAATTAAGTTCAAATCACATAATCAAAGCTACAAGAGACCAAGAGTCAATAATTATCTGCAATTTGCAGGCATCAAAACCTTGTAGATCATCACTAATTGATAGCACGTACCAAAAAAAATGGTTCATTGATTGTTATAGGAGTTGAGCTCATTGAGCTCCTCAAATATGCATATCACGCAGACGCAGTAGAAGCATTATCAGTCATTGCAATGTTAATGGCTATTAGCTCCCCCAAAAAGCTACATGGCCCCACCACACCTCCAGAAGAATCAATTTCCTATACAAGTAGGCAAAGCTCAAAAGGTAGAGAGATCACCTTCTACCATAGAATCTCTTATTCTTGGCAATTCAATGCAATTTGTCGGATAATCACATTACGGTAGATTAGCTCTAACTTCTTTCCTATCAGCACCAAAAGCCTGAAATTAAGAACACCAATTGTGGGAATTAAATACAGCATACTGATAGGAACCAGCAAAACCTGTTCCAAACTTGAAATTCTTAATTAAAAATAAGTAAACAAAAGTTAAGAAAGGAACAGGGGAAAAAAGAGACGGGGAATTGATTGGTTTTGACATTAATAGTTTAATACATAACAAAATACAATCAGTCCCAAAAGACAAACTGATAGCTAAAAACCCAAGGCCACATTACACCCAGAAATTACTCACAAATGCAGTGCAGTGAAACAGAACAAGAACACACAAAAGGCAGTGTCAGTGATGTTCAAGAGGCCAGAACTCTCCTCACACAACACTTCAAAATATCAGATCTGCTCTCCCTCCATATCAGAGGTAGAGTTTGGAAAGCCAGAAAGTTACAACCCTGCCCTTTCCCTAAGTTACACCTAACCCCTCACTTGCCTGCAACTTTTTCTCCTGTTCGGTTGTAAACCTAAGTATATTTCCTTGAATAGCAATATTAGTCTTTATCAAGTCAATTTCCTTCCTAAGACGTCTGCTGCAGGTCTAAGGAAGAAATGTGACCCCATCTTTTAGAAGTAGCAGCTCTATCACCCACCATCTACAAAGTAACAATGATATTGCTTGAACAAGACTATAGCTAAAAGTCTATTTCTTGCACCCTTCAAAACTCAAATCTCATCTCTTCTCTTATATTGATATTTCAACTGTCTAAGAACATAGAGTCCAACTATATCCAGTCTGTTCTGAATCAAGAGGCGCCCTTTTATAAATGACACCTCATAAAAGAATATTTTCTTTCCTCTCCTCTTAAGCTAGTTAGCCATATATAGTTTGATTTATTTACGGTTCAGATAAATGTATATTTTCAGCATCAGGCAATATGGAGTAATAACGAATAATGTGTAAAGATTAAATAATTAATACCTCAACTCCATAACCTTTAACATATACATTGGTAAAAAGTTCAGATGGCTCAGGCATTGGACTCTCCTGGAAATCACAAAAAACAACCGTCAGACTCAAGATCATACAGAGAATAACTAAAATGTGCTTTTCAACGAATAAGTAGAAACTATCAAAGATGTGATTTTCACCTTAGCTTGAGCAATAGCTTCATCAACTTCTTTTCTGGCTGCTTTTTCAATGTCCTACAATAATAAATTGCATTCAACATCATTAGCCTCATCAAAATAAAAAGACAGACTAAATACTCCTGTTCAAAGAAGTAATTCTTATAATCTACCAGGAAGGAAAATTGTCGAAGCTACAAAAAATTGGGAAGTAACTATCAGATATCAATATATCAATATATGATATTAAATCAATAGAAAGCCTATTATTTATAAGTCATAAATGGTGTGCATCGCCTTAGACTATGTGTGAAGCATGAGGCCTGCAATCTAGTTATTCATTAAAAAAACAGAGAGAGAGAGAGAACTCCTAGACAAGTGCTAGGAAAATAACAATCTAAATGATCTAATACATGAAGATTATGGTCCGTCCATCCATATGTCCAATATCAAAATAAGTAGTAGTTCTGTTAATGGATTACGTTAAAGAGAAAATGTCAGGGGTTTAATGAGAAATATAAGACCAAAAAATGAATCATTAAAAAAAAAAAACTGATATATTATTTCACCCTTGAAAGGATCAACTGATCAAGGACAAATTTAAACTTAACATTAAATCACCTTTAGTTCCTTTTCACTAGCAACATCATGTGATGTTAGCAGCTTTCTTATTCTCTCAACTGGATCGCGCTCCTACAAACATATTAGCCAAAAGGAGAGAAATGAATAAAGTTAATTCTTCAAAGTAAAAATAACAGGATGCTTGATTCTGGAGAGCATAATAAACCTGTCTCACACCAGAAATCTCATCACGTGTGCGGTATGTACTACCAGGATCAGACATGGAGTGGCCATGGTACCTGTAGGTATCCATTTCAAGAATCTGAACAGAACGATCAAGATAGAGAAATTAATCAAAATATGAACAATGAAGTTTCAATAATATAATAAAAAATGATAAACTACCAACAATAATCAATTTTATGCCTATTAATGTAAAGTAAACACAAATCATCTAGCCCTAGTGGAAGTTAAAGCAAGGCTATCAAAATGTGACTAACTCATAGTTAATTGAAAAAAAAGCATCTTTTTCTTTATGTACTTAATGGGAAAAGCACAGCTGAAAATATGACATATGATCTAGGGATGCATTCTCATGTATCAGGAATTCTTCTAACTGTACGAGTTAATTGGATTAGATCAATTACCCAAGGCCACACAATCGAATTACTTTTCAGAAAAATCTTTCAAACGGAAAAGCAATATTGAAAGAGGTGTAGAATGTTCCACTTCTCAATGCCTTGTGTGTGACTATGTCTTCTGTTAACCCAAGAAACATGAACTTTGTATCATCAGCTGTTTCTTACTAATATTATAGCTATCAGTCGGGATCAGCCAACAGAATTTTCAAGCAGATAGTCAAGTCCATAAATTTAGAGGGGGCTTTCTCTCTCTTTTTTATGGGCCAGAACAACCTATTTAATTATAATGGCACATTCTACCTTCTGACTACTTTCTAGGCAGTACAGTGACACAAATTGAAATGAAAGAGTTATTATTTCCCAGAACATGTCCAATGCTAATAGGCAAGTAATTTTCATCAAATAACAAACACCCAGGCCAGGACAAGATTGGATACTGCACATGTCACACGACATCATCCCCAAGTCAATTAGATCTGCAGTGCTTGCATATAGCAAACGAAGAAGATGTAAGGAAAGAATTGTTCCAGGTCTAGAAAGTTCACAAGAAGATAACTGTCATCCAATTGGTAATATGAGTAATTATTAATAACTAAATCTAGAAACGAAATGCCCGTTCTTTTGTTGGTGGGTGGAATAAAGTCAGATGGGAAACCCACAAAAACTAGCTATTGGGGTAGAAAAACTAACCTACTCCAATATTCATTGAGCACACCATACTACTCAATCTCCATCAATATGCCCCCTTGGAGTGCAAACATCCTTCAGATACACTCTGTGACACCTCTCTCAATTTCCTCCCCAGTCAAAACCCGTTGCAAGTAGCCATTTCCAAAAAGATCAACCACTGGCACTTGAAGTAGAATCAAGGCATCTAAAAGACGTGGCATTTGCTAAAAGAATTGTAAGACAACGTGGAAAGGCAAGGAGTGAGAGAAGGCTACTCTATAAGATGAGAAAAGAGGAAAGATAGAAGGGTGTGAAGAAAGTGTTGAAGATCCTCTCTCTAGAATTCTTCCTCTCCCTCTAACATTTCTTTTTCTGGTTCAGCAGGAGTGTTCTTAGCTCCTTCAATTATATTGCTATAATCTATCAAACCTGCTTCTAAATGTGTTTGTCGCTTTTGTTTCTTTGTAATTAGATTCAATTCAGAGGTGAGTTTTGTGCATTATGTGCCTGTGTAGCTACCATTACATTGGTGCTTTCATGAGACACTGAGGTTGATGCTTCTGCATTTATGGATTTAGACATTGTGGTGAAGCGATTGGTTCACAAGATTGAATGAAGAAATGCCACAAACTCCTCTCATTTGGATCATTTGGGAACGTCCATTGAAGCACTTAATGTTATGATCAAGCAGCGTTTCAGTACATATACAAAACTGGCAACATTAGGACATACGGCATTTGCCAAATGAATTGGAAGAAAACGTGGAAAGGCCAGGAGTGGGAGAAGGATATTCTATAGAGGAGAAAAAGGGAAATGTAAAAAGGTATGACGAAATTCCTAAACGTAGGAGCTAGTTGGAGTTTGCTTTGGTCCTAAATGTAGGACCTCATTCCACTTTGTCCCCCAAATTTATAATTTCCCCCCAAAACTATTCCTATTGATTGCACATATTAAAGAGGGTTTCCATCAATGGGGGTACTTTCCAATACACAATATAAGGGAATATTTTAGAGAAACCAACACTCTTTTTATAATAACTAACTAAACTAATTTCCTTAATCTCTGTAGATCAGTTATCTAGCTCACATTTAGGACTGGAGGGACTATTAAAGGTCCTCCCTCTCAATACCTCTCTCTCCATGGAATTTTTCCTTTGCTGACATTATTGCACCTGATCGAATAACAATTGATAGCTATTCAAGTGGAATGAGGAACCCTCCAAAAGTTAGCTATTGAAGTGGGAAAACCAACTTGATAAAATACCCTAAAGTGTATCTTGTGCTACTTAATGTGGAACTTAGACATCTAATACTATCTTAGTCTACACCAATTGGTCAATTCAAAAGAAACTTAAAGATTTAGAACAGCAAATAATTTTCTCACAGGGGCCCATTCTTCAAAGCATACTCTTTTGCAAATTTACAAGCCTGCTTCACCGCAAGGACATCCATGCCATCCACCTGCATAAAGCAAGACAATCTTAGAAGAATTACATTCAATTAGGACAATACATATGCGCATAACAAGGCATGAATGCACATATACAGTTTCACTTGAATACAAATACATACATGTGAAGACATGTACGCAAATATTCCATATACAAGCTCATATACCACATACTTAAGCTACGTTAAAAAAGCATTCACACAACCAAATCAACTTAACAGTTTAGACCATATAAAGCCACCATAATCCTAAATATTTAAACACCAAAGTCTGGAAATTGTAACCTTCAAGAAAAAAAGTCTTCGAAAGCAGCATTAACATGAAGGAAATGAACACCACCAAAGCACCAGCATCACCACCTCAAGCTAATTTTTTACCTTCAGCAGTTGCCAGAGCAAACTTGAAGATACTAATTTTAAAACAAGAATAAAAAAAAGGAGAAAATTAAATGTGATACAAATAAGCAAAACAAAAACAATATCATACATGCAATACTACAGTTACCTAGGCTATTTGTGCAATATTCAGAATTCAGAGAAATTACAACCAGGATAGACTTGACCAAATACAATGCGGATGCATTAGCATGATATGTTGTATTAATATTTTAGAGAAACCAACACTCTTTTTATAATAACTAACTAAACTAATTTCCTTAATCTCTGTAGATCAGTTATCTAGCTCACATTTAGGACTGGAGGGACTATTAAAGGTCCTCCCTCTCAATACCTCTCTCTCCATGGAATTTTTCCTTTGCTGACATTATTGCACCTGATCGAATAACAATTGATAGCTATTCAAGTGGAATGAGGAACCCTCCAAAAGTTAGCTATTGAAGTGGGAAAACCAACTTGATAAAATACCCTAAAGTGTATCTTGTGCTACTTAATGTGGAACTTAGACATCTAATACTATCTTAGTCTACACCAATTGGTCAATTCAAAAGAAACTTAAAGATTTAGAACAGCAAATAATTTCTCACAAGGGGCCCATTCTTCAAAGCATACTCTTTTGCAAATTTACAAGCCTGCTTCACCGCAAGGACATCCATGCCATCCACCTGCATAAAGCAAGACAATCTTAGAAGAATTACATTCAATTAGGACAATACATATGCGCATAACAAGGCATGAATGCACATATACAGTTTCACTTGAATACAAATACATACATGTGAAGACATGTACGCAAATATTCCATATACAAGCTCATATACCACATACTTAAGCTACGTTAAAAAAGCATTCACACAACCAAATCAACTTAACAGTTTAGACCATATAAAGCCACCATAATCCTAAATATTTAAACACCAAAGTCTGGAAATTGTAACCTTCAAGAAAAAAAGTCTTCGAAAGCAGCATTAACATGAAGGAAAATGAACACCACCAAAGCACCAGCATCACCACCTCAAGCTAATTTTTTACCTTCAGCAGTTGCCAGAGCAAACTTGAAGATACTAATTTTAAAACAAGAATAAAAAAAAGGAGAAAATTAAATGTGATACAAATAAGCAAAACAAAAACAATATCATACATGCAATACTACAGTTACCTAGGCTATTTGTGCAATATTCAGAATTCAGAGAAATTACAACCAGGATAGACTTGACCAAATACAATGCGGATGCATTAGCATGATATGTTGTATTAAATTTAGCAAATGAAAAGCTAAAATGTGATGCCTCCATAACACAGCAGGCAATAAACCTTCATCATTCTACAATTATAAATAGAAGTGCATCTCTAAAAACGATTTTACCATTTGAAATATATAAACATTGAAAGACGAAAAAATATGATTTAGCAAAAAAATTGTGGAGAATGATGATTCGAAAACATATTCGCTGAACAGCGTAAACCCTTTTAATACTTGATTAAAGGGTTGCTCTTTCTTCACAAGTTATATGACAAATTGCCAATCATCTAAACAACTTTCTATAATCAAGCAGGTTGCTTTCTCAGTCACAGAAAGTAATCATTTCACAAACATTTATCCATTACTTTCTTGAATATTATATTATCAAGTTGATGAGAGTGATCAGAACTTTATTACTGAACACCAAAGAATAAAAAAAATGTAGCATAAAGATGATGTGGACACTGGTATCCGGAAAATTTAACAATGTAGCGAAGTTAAACATGACCATGATCTCATTCTAACCTTCAATCCAGGAACATAGTCCCCACGTTTGTAATAGGCCGAACTCTTAGCAGCTCTCCACTCAGCAGTTCCCATTCCATCTGATAACTAAATTCGATCAGATTGAATTCATTATACAACAATAACTTGAATTCATTGAACTGAACTAGCATCCTTAAACCAATTAAACTACTTACAATGATTATTCTCGCAGACCAATATTGCTGGTAGATCCCAGAGCGCCGCCATGTTAAGTGCCTCAAACAGTTGTCCCTGATTTGCAGCTCCATCACCGTACAAAGCGAAGGTTACATTCTCGTCCTTAGAGTATTTCTGAGCAAAAGCCAATCCACACCCAAGTGGTATCTGAGCTCCAACGATGCCGTGACCACCATAAAACCCAGCCTCCTTCTTATAGAAATGCATAGACCCACCCTTTCCTTTCGAGCAACCAGCCTGACGACCCATGAGCTCTGCAAATACCTGCAGCAGGGTTCCACCGCGACCCAAGAACGTACAATGATCGCGATAAGCTGTAATTATGCAATCCTTCTTCGTAATTCCAGCTTCCATACCCACGGCCACTGCTTCCTGGCCATCATACAAGTGACAGAACCCTCTGATCAGCTTGGCTTTGTAGAGAGAATCAGCAGCTATCTCCATCCGTCGCATCAACGCCATGTTGCGGAAAAACGACATGAGCTCCTTGGGGCTGGTCTCGACGGCGCGTGAGGGAGGATCGCAGTTGTGGGCGGTGAACGGAAGGGAGGTCTCAATGGTGAGGGGGCTGGAGTCATCGGCGGAGGAAGAAAGTGAACGGCGGAGAGAAGAGGTGAATGATAAAGCGGCTGACATGGGTTTCACGAGACTGTATCGAGAAGAGGAAGAAGATGAAGCCAAGTGCGAAAGAGCCATATCGATATGCTATAAACCCAGACAGGGATTAAGCAGACAAGACGATTTTCAGAGAAAGCAACTGAACCGAAATCCACAGAAAGGGCACAGACCAAGCTAAAAGATCGAGAGGAAGAGGGTTCTTAGTTTGACAAGAGATTACTTGACTATCAGGTTTGGTCTGTACAGAAAACAAAAGGTTAAGGAATCGAATCCACAATTCCAGAGACGATAATATATATTAATATGAGCTCAAAAATGGGAACTTTACTAATTTACTTCGTCATAAACTCTATAAACAGATTTAAAAAAAAAAAAAAAAGCCTTTGAAAACCATTTTTCCGTCGTCTTGTGTCTTCTGTGGTGTGGTGTGGCGTGGCGTGGGATTGGAAAGTAGATGAGATCGAGTGAGTTTGCATTATTTTATTAGCTTTTATTCAGATATTAACCCGGAGCATGTTCTTATGATCAATGGCAGATGGGCAGCTCATTTCGGTCACCTCACAAATGTCAGAGATATACTATGTCACGATAACTTGTTTATTCCCATGATTGGGTACATCCGTATTCGCCTACTGTTATGTTATAATTAAATTAAAAAATTTAAGGAGATTGTAAAAGTTGTTTTTAATAATCGCCTTAATAATACCAAAATAACTGAACTTATTGTTAAAATAATGTTATCTGCCTTAATCAATAGTTTCAGCTTTATTAGAGCTCCCTTGACTTGAAATAAAATAAAATTTTTGAATCCATTGCTCACAAATTGAAAAAAAATAAAATAAAATGATTGTGATGTTTTTACTAGCAAAGGAAGAATTTAAAACCATTTCTAAAAGTTTGAGTGTGCGTTTGGATTTGATTACGTTTACATTCCAAAAGTAAGTTTTAACTTTTTGAATGTAAAATGTTGTTTGGCTTTTTTTTTTCAGACAAAATGTACTTTTTAAACTGACTTTCAAATACATTTGAAATGAAAAAATTTGCAAAGCTACTCCCAGTTGCTTTCAAAACGTGATCAGTTGGATGGACATTTATTGCTGGTACCTAATTTGTTTATTGACCATGATGCCCCTCACTTTTGCAGCTGATACATATCACACATACTCTCCTCTCGTGGTCCTCATTTGTGCAGCTGATACATCAGTGTTCTTCGTCCTTTGCTGCTGCTCTGTGTCCACCGATCGTCCGCCGTTAGTCCGCCACTAGTCCGCCGCTAGTCCACCATTTGGCCATCTCTTCTCCTTCTCTCCTTCGCCTCTCCTCTACCATCACAGATCTGAATCTCTTCCTTCCCTAAGCTTCTCCTTCCTTTATCAACGGTGGCTGCATTTCACCATTAATTTCTCCCCATCTCTTTCACGGATCAAGCTTATTTTGGGACTTGGGCTGCATTTCGTAGCTGAGAGAACTCCGACCAAGAGCTTTTGCAACCTGTGGAGTGCAAAGGTGAACATTCCGACCAGCTCGTGGAACTCCAATCCTCTTCTCCAATCTGCTCTTCAATCTACAAGGTATGATAGCCTTCAAGCTTTTTTTGTCAGATCTGGAAATGGTGCTGCTTTGTTCTGCTCTTTGATGTGATCTATTGCTTTTCTTGTTCGGACCATCGTGAAGCTCTATTCTGATCTGTTTCTTTTCTTTTTTAGACCACCGTGAAGCCACTGTTCCGGTCTGTTTCTTTCATTTTTCAGACCACCGTGAAGCATTCCGGTCTGTTTCTTTCATTTTTCAGACCACCGTGAAGCATTCCGGTCTGTTTCTTTTCTTTTTCAGACTGGTGTGAATTTTTTTTAATTACCTTCTTTTGATCACATAACAAGAAAATATAAGCAAGCAAGAAGATTATTTATGACTACATATTGTAATTATTCTATTCTGGTCTGTTTCTTTCGTTTTTCAGACCACCATGAAGCATTCTGGTCTGTTTTTTTTTATTTTTCAGACTGGTGTGATTTTTTTTAATTGCCTTCTTTTGATAGCTTCACATAACAAGAAAAAATAAGCAAGCAAGAACATTATTTATGACTGCATTTTGTAATTATTCTGTTGATCTGCTGATGTTCTAAAATATGACACGGTGTTTTGGAAATATATTCTGGTGATTGATCTATTAATTGTTCTATGTTGCTTTGTTTTTTTTTAATTTCATTTTGATAAGAATTTGAGCTAATTTATTTTTTGAAAATTGATGAAGGGATGAGAAAGGCTACAAATTTCTGATCAAACTTGCTTATTTTAATACATACTATTGAATTATATGATTTGAATTTTTGAGTGAGTGCAGAAATTATCTTATGGCTGCTTTTCAATAACTGCCTCTTTCAACAAGTATATGTGGCTAAGATAACAAGTGGTTAATTAACTATGATCGAATAATCTTTTTCTTTTTGTTTCCAAAAAAAGGATAGTAAAATTTTTAAGAAGGATAAAAAAGGATAGTAAAATTTTTAATATTTTAACTCTAACTCAATTATGGATTTTTACTCCTCAAATTTCATTTGTATTGAAAATGTGATATTTTGATAGTAAAAATGAGTAAAGAGAAAGCACTATGGACTACCAAATAGACCGAATTGTTTATTAAATTAGCTCTCCAGCAAGTTAAGAAAAATGAGCGTAAAGGCTCTACCTTATCAAAGGAGGGTTGGGAGGCACTAATGCAACAGTTCAATGCTTTGAGTTCAAGAAGTTATGATAAGAAGCAGTTGAAGAATAAATGGGACAATTTGAGGAAAGATTGGAATATATGGGACAAGCTATTAAACAAAGAGACCGGTTTGGGATGGGATAGTGAAAAGAATACTGTTTCAGCACCAGAGGAGTGGTGGAGTCAAAAGATTAAGGTATACAATTATACATGGCATGCTAAACATTTCATATTTTATTTTATAGATATACTAGACTCAGTTCTTGTAAATGTGCAGGAGAATCCTGAGTATAGGAAATTCAGGCATAGACCACTTCCATATGCACAAGAATTGACACAGTTGTTCCAGCCAGTTGCAGCACAGGGCACTTACATGTGGACACCTGCGGCTGATGATCCACAAGATGTGTATAGGCCTCAATTGGATTTGACCGAAGGATCAGGAGACAGTGATGATATAAGAAACATTAATGGAGGAGCTCTCCCAAAAATTGGGCAGGTTAACTTGAATAATGCATATAGTGGTGGTACTAATTCAGGGAGCAAGCGAAAGAGAGGTGAAAGTGGTCAAAACAAAAAGGGAAAATGTCTTGCAACGGTGATGGTTGATTCAGTGAGTCGATTGGTGTCCACACAAGAGGATAGGGTTTCAACATTGAAGTCAATTCTTAATTCCATAGAGGGTGGAACAAAACCAGTTGACCAAAATGTGTTGGAGGTTGCAAAGGAACTTTATGGAATTGAGGAGATTGCTTATGATGAGGTGCTTCTTGGACAGTGTGCTGTGGCCTTGCTAGATAAGACCGCAAGGGACATGTATATTGGGCTTAGGGACAACAGAAGAGCATTAGTGGCCTATTTGAGGTGCTTGGGCAAAAAATGAAATTAGATCATCTTAGCTTGCCTTCTAATGTTTTAAAATTTAGCTAGTGTCGTTCATGTTGTTAATTTGTTTTGAAACTGACTGTGTTATTTGACTCTTGTGTTATGTGTTTCTTACGTTAAGTCATGGACAAATAGTGTAATGGTTGTTTAATTATGCTATGCAGTTTTTATGGATGACAATACACAATCTCACTTATTACAATTACTTATACATACGGAAGACGATGAGATTGAGGCTATTACTGCTATAATATCCAATTACTCAACAACTTTATTGAAAGAGCCTTGTAGAACCAGTTCGCAATCAGGTCATGCATAGGTGCAAGAAATTTTGCAAGGGCATCCTCAACGTTATTATGATACATTTCGTATGGAAAAAGATATTTTTCTTTAACTTTATGACAAACTAGTGCAACATGGCCTACGTCCAACCAGAAGAACAGGGATTCATGAAATGGTCGGTATGTTCCTAAATATTGTTGGACATGGAGTGGGGAATAGGATGGCACAAGAACGATTTCAACATTCAGCAGAGACTGTTCACAGGCATTTTAGAAATGTATTGCATGCTTGTGAGAAGCTAGCAAAAGAATATATCCAACCAAAAGATCGCACTTTTCAAGATATTCATCCAAAAATTTTAAATGATCCGCGATATTGGCCATTCTTTAAAGATGCCATAGGAGCAATTAATGGCACACATATCCCGTGTGTGGTTAGTGTTGAAGAGCAAGGGAAATATATTGGAAGGAAAGGTATTCCAACACAAAATATAATGGCCGCATGTGATTGGGATATGTGCTTCACTTATGTCATGGCTGGATGGGAAGGGACTGCTCATGATGCTCGTTTATTTGACTATGCTCTCACAAGGCCGAACATGAAATTTCCACACCCACCCCAAGGTATATTTCATATTTATCTAATTTAAACAATTATTTTAATATTTTTTGGGATCTTATAATTTCTGTTTTTTTATTGGTAGGTAAATATTATTTGTTAGATGCTGGCTATCCAACTCCACGTGGATATTTAGGTCCTTATAGATCTCATAGGTACCACCTCCCAGATTTCAGGCGTTCATCTGGATTTGCAAATAATAATGAGATTTTTAATTATTATCATTCAAGCTTAAGGACCACGATTGAAAGGACTTTCGGGGTTTGGAAAAATAGATTCGCAATCTTACGACATATGCCTAGCTATCCATTTGTGCAGCAAGTTCGTATTGTTGGTGCAACAATGGCTATACATAATTTTATTAGAAGAAAATCTGTAACTGATTCTGACTTCAAGCATTTTGAGGATGAAAATATGGTTAACACTATCGATGATACTAATGAGCCTGCATTTTCATCAATAATTCTAAGTGCAATTTCAAGCATAGCTTCTGATAGAGAAATGAATAGGGTTCGAGATTCTATTAGAGATCAGATTGTATATTATAGATCGAACCATTAATCATGTAACTATTCAATATTAATGAATGTTTAACTATTTATTACATAATTTTTTTCCAAAATTAAATTTTATTTTTTTATTCTTAATATTTAACATTTTAAATTTTATGTCATTTTAAATTTGTTTCACCTTTTTTTAATATATTACATTTGTATAATAAAAATTATAAATTATCATAAATCAATGTCCTTTTTGGTCATTACATATTAAAAAATACATTTAAAAAGCATAAATTTTTATTAATCCAAACAACTTTCAGTTTGTCAAACTGACTTTTAAAAAATATATCCAAACACAAATTTCATTACAACCACTAACTTTCACGAAATTGACTTTTGCCAAATGAACTTTTATCAAACTGACTTTTGACAAACTGAAAACCAAACGCATACTAACAGTTTATGTAACTTTAAAATTTTAGGAACTATATATATTATAGAATCAAGCCAAACAAACAGTCCAATATTATTATATTTATCAATGATATATAATTATATATTAATAATAAATATTTTATAAATTTTTAAATTTTTGATGATAACTACTTTGTATATCAATATGAACCAGTCACATTTTTTAATTTTTAAAAATTTGGTTAATATTTTCTAGGCACAAGATTTTTTGTCCAATGGGCCAATTTTTCATAAATTATTTTTCTAAATGTTTGCCATAAAATTTTATTTAAATTAATATATCTTTTGAATTAAAAGAAATTTTTGTCCCTTAATTATTCACATATGAGCGTCTAATATTCTAAACTTTTTAGAACTCCCTCCGAACCACAATAGAAGATATCTTTTTAAAATCTTACCTGATACAAAATATAAAGCATTTGATAACTTTTATATTTATTTTTTCAACTATATCTCTATTTTATTTATCAATCTTTTTGAAAAAAAATTATACATTAAAATTTTAATTATTATTTTCAAGGATTTTACAATACAAGTATTGAAAATATGCAAACATTTTAACAATTTAAGATTCAACTAACATTATTTATAAATTATAAATTAGTTAGTTATGACTTATATTATAGTCCGAAAAGAGTATTGGTGAAAGAAAATATATTATTAATATATATATATATATTTATATATTTATATAAATTTAATAGGAGTAAACTTAAAAAATTATTATATTTTTAAACAAAATAAGTTTCAAGATTTTTTATTCTAAAATAAGTATTAAAAATAATTTATAAATAGAACCAAAATAAATATTCATTTACTATTTGACAGGGCTTTTAGGTGAGGATGCGAATGAGTTCAACCCAAACAGGTTAGCTTCAAAATCTTTTACCTCTGGTCATTTTATGCCATTAACAGATTGGACAATCATTTGCTATGAAGGAAGCTGGGATCATGTTGTGATCATGTTTATATTCCATTTCATCTTCTCCATTTCTAACTATTATGGTCATGCTAATGTGGTTGGGCTTACACCCATATATTGGATCCAAGATTGGGGATAATATTGTGTAAGTAGTAGAATGTCCAATCTGCTTGAAAATATTTGTGAGGTGATCCAATGTCTGGCCTAGTTGTTTATTACTAATCTGGCCCAATCCAATATTAGACGCTAATTAGCCGGACATCATCAACATCATTATTAGCCAATTAAAAAAAAAAATGCACTGTTAGATAGTGACTCCTACGGGCACCAATTCGTTAATTTTCCAGACATGCTTGTTTTTAAATCATTTAAAAAAAAATAGTCGGAAGTACAAACTAAGTTCAAGAAATAGTCCATAAATGTAAATAAAACACAGGTATCAATGCAGCAACAAAGTTGGTAATTTCATGTTGAAAAATATAACTTCCAATCCTTGAACTTATTCTCAAGTATCCATTCAATTCTCGAATTTAATTCAAAATAATTTAATCCTTATATTTTCTTGACTCAGAAGTCAGAACAGTTTAGTGCTTATAATATTTCTCTTTCACTCTGTATAATCCAATCCTTGCAGTTTACTTGAGTAAAGAACTGAGTTATATTAAATCAAAATTTAAAAACTAAATTGATAATTAAGAAAAGTTTAAGGACTAACATTATATCATCCTTTTCATATTCAAATAGCTTCCAAACCTGTTAATTTGTACATGGAAACATTCAGAAGTTGTACTAAAGAATTTTCTATTCTGCTTTAAAATAATGACCTACATAAGCTGTAAAAAAAAAAAAAAAGTAGCGAAAAAGTATATTACACTGGTGAATGCGATGAATAGAAAGATTGGCGATTGCTTGGCAGGTGCAAGTGTTCAGCAAATAAATAAAATTCTATCTCCCACCCATTTAGAATCATGGTAAGATCAGCAACAGAACATAAAACTGTACGACATCCACCAACATTTCCAGAACATCAGAAATTGAAGTGCACAAGAAACCCTTTATAAAAAAAGCCCGCAAAGGACCCAATTTAGTTCTAGGCTCTAACTCAAATTTCAACCAGCCTTTTAAATAAGAGTTTTTCATACACAAACATTGACGGTGAACCCATGAGATGAACTAGCGACCCTAGGAATATACTGAACCATAATAATACAAAGGAAGAAAAATAATTTCATCAAACAGTCTATCCTTTCTTTGAAGAAAAGAAGGGTGAGAAATTGACCTACCTGTGATTTGTTCAAAGTCCACCGAATAAGAATGACCCCACTCTATCGTTTTGAGGGTCTCTCATCATCTTCTCCTCCATCATCGTCATCTGAATCATCTTTATCTAACCTCTTTCTTTTCGAGGGAGCTTCAGTCTTCTCACTATCCTCACCATCTTCAACTTCATCTTCGTCCTCACCGTTCTCCACTGGTTCAAAATCACTAGATGCTTCCTCTTCCTCAGCAGTGGCTAAAGGACGAACGAGGTACTCTGTTCCCAAATCCTCCTAGAAGTTTTATGCATCACAGTAGTTTAAGTGAAGCAAAACAGTGACAGCTGACAATACAACGTTGAAGCAGCACAACAGATGTAGACAACTAAATTTTTGTCACGCTTCATCATCCAGTAGGAGCAATTAAATTAGAGATAATCTAACGAGGAAATTTAAGACTCATTCTATTTTACAATATCTAATACTCCATCAAAAAGCATAAATATAAAGTGTAAAAATTCATAAATTATGTGGAGATATTATATTTATTGTAAATATTCTTATCTAATTATTAGGAGTTAATAGGATTTATTAGAATTATTAATATTTATTAACCATTTATTTTCTTGTCTCCTAGCTTTGCATATATATAGTCTCTCGTATCCTATTATTATAATCAATGGAAAATCATATTTCTTCTTTCAAAAATCCCACATGATATCATAGCACATTAGATCAAAACCCTAGCTAGTTTTTTGTTCTATCACATAGGATAGTTTCAGACTGGTAGCTGATGGACAAAACCCTAATAGAGGACAAGAGGCATTGCTGGATCTCATTACTGGCCAAGGAAGGACCAGAGACCTCCAATCGGCACAACCTCAAAGTTTGGCATGCGTTGACGATGCATGGCGATCACACACACCACTTATCTGTTCTGCATCAAAGGGAGAGTCTGAGCATGTGGAGCGCTGTTTTTGACAACAGCAGCTTGTTTCTGCAACGATGGATCATTTTCAAGCCTAGTCTTGACATTTTCTAGCTGTGGGTCTTCCAAGTCTTCACCTTGTTCGTTGAATGTGCTTACTGTCAAAACAAAATGGACCTAAAGAGCACAAACACCCAAAAATTCCTAGGGGAAATGGGGCTTCTAATCCTAGAAGTAGTATGTTTCGGCCTTTTTGATTTGATTTGTATTTTCTCATAAGCTTTCAATAATGGGTGATAAAGCTTGCAAAACTACCATCAAAAGTTGTTGAATCTGATGCAGTATGTGTCAGTCAGATTTTACAGTCAATCTCTGTCTTCGTAGCACAAAGAGGTAATTTTCTTCAAGCATTGAAAACATCAAAGGCTGAAACATTGTGGATTGTTGACTCTGGAGCATCGGATCACATGACCAATAACCACCAATTATTTTCTACATATACTCCATGTGCTAGAAATTTGAAAGTCAAAATTGCATATGATTCTCTTGCTCCTATTGCGGGGAAAGGGAGTATTCATATCTCTAAATCTATCACTCTAGAATCTGTTCTTCATGTACCAAAATTAGCATGCAATTTGTTGTCTGTTAGCCAACTAACAAAACAATATAAATGTTGTACTAATTTTCTTCCAACCCATTGTGTCTTTCAGGATCTATCATTGGGTACAATGATTGAACGTGCTAAAGATTGCAAGGGACTCTACTTCCTTGAAAATATTAGAATGAGTCACCATTAAACCACTAATGTATGTAACTCTATATCAACCTCTAAAGATACAAATATTCTGTTATGGCACAAGAGACTGGGACATCCTAATTTCCATTATTTATCTCATTTGTTCCCAAACCTTTGCCCTACTAACCATGATGTCAAATGTGAAATGTGTGAACTGGCAAAGTACTAACAAACATCATTTCCTAGAACACCGTATAAACCCACCAAACCATTTGTTACCATACATAGTGATCTATAAGGTCCATCCCATATCCCAAACCGCACCAAATCAAAATGGTTCATTACCTTTATTGATAATCATACTCGTGTTTGCTGGGTGTATCTCCTAAAAGACGAGTCTGAGACTACGTCTATATTTATCAATTTCTTTACCATAATAAAAACCCAATTCAACACAAACATCTAAGTTCTACATACCGACAATGGTACTGAATATTTCAACCAAGTCTTGAGTACCTTCCTTCACAAGCATGGCATTGTCTATCAAAGCACTTGTGCCCATACACCCCAACAAAACGGGATTGTAAAAAAGAAAAATAGACATATTCTTGAAGTGGCTAGGGCCCTCATGTTCACCCATAATGTCCCAAAATTTTATTGGGGGGATGCCATTTTAACTGCAACATATCTCATCAATTGAATGCCCAATCATATTTTGTCTTTTGATACTCCTCTTCAAAAATTGCAAAGTGTTCTCTTCACATCTCATATTGAAACCAACACACCTCTTCGTGTCTTTAGGTGCATAGCCTTTATCCACATCTATCAATCTAGTAAACTTGGACCTTGTGCTACAAAATGCATATTCCTTAGTTATTCCCCTACTCAAAAGGGATACAAATGTTTTGATCTTACTTCCAAACACATTTGTAAGCTTTAATGCCTTTTTACTCCAATTCTTCAATTCAAGGGGAAAGTATAGGTGAATCTTAGACTTGGGAACAAGAGATTAACAAAGAACAAGTGCTTCCTTATTCTTGGTCCATACCAACAGAGTCATTACCACCTCAATTACCAGAACCATCACTCTCATCCAAACCCTTACCACCATCACCATCTCTTGTGCCAGTCACAGAAGATAACTCAACATCAGGGGGAGATATAGAAAAGCAAAAAGACAAAGACTTGTTGGCTTATTCTCGAAAGCATAAATCCAAGGGAGGAGAGCAACTCGTATCTGAAGCACCAAAAGAGTCAGAACCAGTGGTAGCTCCTAAATCACCTTAGCAAAGTCCTAAATAGGTGAGTGATCAATTTGATCTTGATTTACCCATTGCTCTCAAAAATCAATCTCGCTCTTGTACTTTACACCTAATACATAAGCACAAATCCTATAAGGCTCTTTCTCCAAGTTATTGTGCTTTTGTCACTAGTCTATATAAAGTTGTAGTTCCCAACAATATCGAAGAGGCATTGGAAATACCAAAATGGAGAAATGTAGTCATGGAGGAAATGAGAGCCCTAAAGAAGAATGGAACATGGGAGATTGTTCAGAGGCCAAGTGGCAAGAAGCTTGTAAGCCGCAAGTAGGTTTTCATCCCAAAGTACAAGGCTGATAGTACTCTTGACAAATTAAAGGCACACTTGGTAGCAAAAAGGTTTACTCAGACATATGGTATTGACTACAAAGAGACTTTTACACCAATGGCAAAATTAAACACCATTAGAGTTCTATTATCTATGGCAGCTAATCTAGAATGGCCACTTCATCAGCTTGACACCAAGAATGCTTTCCTAAATAGAGAACTAAGAAGTTTACATGACTCTACCACCAAGATTTGATAGAGGCAAAGGTGATCAAGTATGTAGGTTGAAGAAATCTTTATACGGCCTAAAGTAGTCTCCTAGGACATGGTTTGACAGATTCTCAAAAGTCCTCAAGTGAGAAGGCTATAAGCAAGGATTGTCAAACCATACAATGTTTGTTAAAGTTGAGGGAGGTAAAAGATGTATCTTTATTGTATATGTTAATGACATTATTCTTACAGGAGATTATCTTGAGGAAATCACAAGAGTAAAGGTTGTTTTGGGCAAACAATTCAAGGTAAAAGACCTTGGTTCCTTGAAATACTTCTTTTAGATAGAAGTTGCGAGATCAATAAAAGGTATTTATGTATCTCGGAGGAAGTATATACTTGATCTTCTGAAGGAAACAAGTATGTTAGGTTGTAGGCCAGCTGAAACCCCTATTGTGCTTCCAAAGAAAAAGAAGCCTAAGAAGAATAAGGAAGAGTCAAAAGAAGAAAAAAATTCTTATGATGAGGTTGAAGAAGAAGACAATGAGAATGAAGAGGCTAATAATTAAAAAAGATATCAGAGGCTTGTTGGTAAGTTGATTTACCTTTCCCATACAAGACCGGATATTGCCTTTGCAATAAGTATGGCTAGCCAATACATGTCTGAACCAAAGAAGAAGTATATGGAAGCAGTCTACAGGATTTTTGAGATATTTAAAGGGTACTCCTGATAGAGGGTTATTCTTCCAAAAACAAAACAAAGAATCATAGAGGCCTACACAAATGCAAATTAGGGAGGAACTCATCTTGATAGGAGATCAACTTCTGGTTATTGTTCCCTTGTTTGGGGGAACTTGGTTACCTGAAAGAGTCAAAAGCAAAGAGTTGTTTCTAAGAGCAATGTTGAGCTTGAATTAAGAGCTTTGGCTCAAGGAATAATGAAAGAGTTATGGCTGAAACGAATCCTATAAGAGATTCATGTTGAAGTGGACTCACCATTAAAACTTAATTGTGACAATAAGGCAGCTATAAGCATGACCTTAAACCTTGTTCAACATGAGAAATCAAAACATGTGGAAGTGGATAGGAATTTCATTAGAGAAAAAGTGGAAGATGAAATCATATGTTTGATTTATTTACCTACAAACCTTCAAGCTGCAAATGTTCTGACTAAGGGATTACATAAGCCCGCATTTGAAAGTTGCATAAGCAAGTTGGACATGATTAACATCTATAATCCAACTTGAGAGGGAGTGTGGAGATATTATATTTATTGTAAAATTTTTATCTTATTATTAGGAGTCAATAGGATTTATTAGAATTATTAGTATTTATTAGCCATTTATTCTCTTACCTCCTAGCTTTGTGTATATATAGTCTCCTGTATCCTTCTATTATAATCAATGAAAAATCATATTTCTTCTCTCAACAATCCCACAAACTATTAGTATTATAAGCATTAGTTTTCAAGTGAACATGTTTGTTTTTCAGATAATCAGTATGGATAAGAAAACAAGAACGAATAGGGTAACTAATCAAATCAACGTACTGACTGGGGATCTGTTAAAAATAAAAAACAAAGTCACATGAATGGATATTGGAAAGTACCAAGATATAAATTAAGAAAAATGAATTAATTAGGGAGTATTGGCCAAAGGTTCAAAAGGAAAAGGTGTCAGATAAACTAATGTAATATTTGACAGAGAGAAAAATGTCTTTTAGAAATGAAATGAGAAATGCACCTATCTCATTTTCTTTCTAGATATATCTTCCATTTCACTTCTAGAAAACTCTTTTCCACGTACTAAACATTGTCTGAATTACAAATTCTCTCCCTCTTGCCAAAAATCAAGAACTATATGATAGGGAAATAAAGACACAGTTTAGATATTTCCTCCCATTACTTATATTAGAAAAGCCAATGCATTGTGTGATGCAAATAAGTGAAGCACCAGTCGGCTACACAAAATGATTTAGGAAGAGATTGTTAGCACAGATTGATGTCACTGCTTAATAATAGTCAATAGCTAACTCAAGTTTTCTGACATTACTCGTGCTCAAGCTACGTGGCTAACCATTGCAGGTTACGCATCGCTCAAAGAGGTTCAACTCATCCGTACAGCAAATCCAGTCAAGCAGACAGGTTGAATTTGTGATGAGGTATTCAGATTATCCAAAATTCCAAATACCTAATGCATTTACAGAGAGCATTGAACTTACTTACCAGAGATTTCAACAATGGTTTTGTTTATTTTAATCATATACTCATATTAAAGCATGCAAGTAATGTCTAGTTACAAACTATCAATTCACTAAAGCATCTGAACAGTAGATGTTGACGAAGAAAACAGGGATCCCCACACATACTCCGTGACATCTTTAAGCTTCTAGTAGGCGCTGAACATCACACGAAAATTATGTAAACAAGGGGACCAGGAAGCGTTTTCTTCACCCTTCAAGAACTGCTAAAAGATTTTTTAAAACTAGAGATTTGATGAAGACGTCATATTCAGTGAAGTGGAGAAAAAATACAGGTACACAGGGTACAACATCATTACATAATTGGATCTTTGGATAGATTTGGTCTTGTAAGGAAACTCAAATATTATATTGACATGTAACTTTTTCGTACTTGAAATGTACAAGGATCATGCCTAATTGGCATTGTTATCATTGTCAGATCAATCTGGATATTGTGGACGCGACAATACCACTGCCATCTAAACCAGAAGTTCACTATAGGCATCATAACATTTTCATGGATTAAATCAATTTTCTTTAACTTTATTTTGACCTGCCCTGCAAGAGTGATCTCATATTCTTTTCTTTTTCTTTTTCTTTTTTTTTGAATAAAAGATACAGTTAAAACCGTGCAAGGGTTACAAATTCATGACATATCAAAATTCAAGATGATCCTACATCCTATAACTGAGCAATGAGCGTTTAATGCATCAATCATATTCTGAGAGAACTACGAAGGATAAATTCAGGACACACTAATAACTGAGCAATGAGCGTTTAATGAAATAGACACAAAAATATTATGATTTATAAATTAAGAAAAATGCATCAATCAAGAATTGAAGTATTGAATAAAGGTATCAAAGTAAGAAGATTCAGATAAGCTATGCTACGCACACACTATATCCCGTATACCATATAATCGCATTGAGATTTAACTTATTGAGGAAAAGGGCATGGTCGAAAGATGCCAAGTCATTCCCACACATCAGGAAGGAGAAAAATGGAGTGTAAAAGGAAAAGGCTGTACGAACCAGGTGAAAAGAAAGAAAGTAATTAAAATTTCAGATTGAGCAAAGCCCCCCCAGATTGTTAACTATTTTCTACGGAAATTATGCACTGATAGTGATAATGAAGCAAAATCTTATTCAAGTTACCTCTGCATCTCCTCGTCGTCGTTCGTCGTCGTCGGAATCGTCGGCGTCACCGCCGAGCTCGCCAGCCGCTTCTTCCTCGTCGTCTTCTTCATCATCGCCTTCGCCATCAGGAGCATCGTCGTCGTCGTTATCCTCATCCTCATCTTCATCCTCGTCCCCATCCTCGTCATTCCTCATCATTCATCATCGTCATTCATCCTCGTCTTCTTCCTCTTCATCCAAGACGTCCTTGTCCTCGTCCTGTCGATTCAAAACGACTTCATCATTTTCCTCAATATGCTCCTTCAATTCCCAAGTAGACTTCATCTTCAGAGTCAACAACTCAGAAGAAACACTTTCTCGAGAAAGACAAATCTTCAAATTTGTGAAAAGCAAATCGGACGGTCCTCATAGAAGTATTTGTATTTGAGAGGAGATAGCGTCGCCTGCTCAGCTCTTGCGGCGCTCGCCACGCTGCGCTCACCGTCAAACTTGCTCTTGCTCATCCCTTCGGCTCTTCCTAATTTTGGTTTTGTTTTTGTTTTAGTCAAAAAAAATATTACAATTATTTTAATATTATAATCATAAATATCAAATTAATCTTTGGTTTGCTAGTTGTGAGAGTTACATCATCTTATCTTAAAATTTGAGTCATGAAATATGTAATCGTACATAATAAAAATGTTAAAAATATTTTTAAATATTTGTGAAACTATCATTGTTTCCTGATAGTAGGTGATAGAAATAAAAATAATTAATCTTTTATATATAAGGTATTTTAAAACTTTATTTTTTATTAAATTATCTTCATATCTTCAGTAAATATTTTTTTTATTTGATCTCTCAAAAATAAAATCATAATCAAATAATATAATAACCTTTCAATTTAAATTAACACACGAAGACATGTATTTCTTATTGACTACTGTTTAATCATCATTGTATTAATAAAAAATTTGAATAGTCATATTTGGGAACATATAAATTTGAAAATCTCTAAATAAGAAGGTAAATTTAAAAAATAATTTAGAAGAAATAAAAAAAATAAAATTTCAATCTGTTGTACTAGATTCCTGCATCATTAACTTTAGGTATCTCAATTGAGTTTGTCTTTTAGTGAAAATGACATTGAAATCCTAAAATAATGAATTTATAATCGTTAAATTTTTAAAAGATATTATAAAATTAGTTTTAAATATTAATTTAAATAGTTCTAAATTTAAAATTTAATTATAAATAAAATATTTAAAAAAAAATATTAAATTCTAATTATAACTATCAATCAAATTGTAATATGGATTCCTGTTTGCAACTAAATCAATATTTATGACTTATTTTTTAAAGGTTAAAGTTAAGGTATATTTTCATCTTTTAATTTTATATAAGATTTTAATTTGATCCTTTAATTTTATAAAGTATATTTTTAGTTCTTTAATCCTAACATCGTAAACTCAAGTGATTATTTTTTATATCAATCATTATTATTTTAAAATAAATTAAATTTAATATGTTATCATTTGATAATATTTTATCAATATTTTAAAGTTTAATATAAAAATTTGTCAGGATAAAACTAATAATATTAGGATTAAAGGACTAAAAATGCACTTTATAAAGTTAAGGAATTAAAATAAAATATGTAAAATTAAAAAATAAATATATACTTTAGCTTTTTTTCAAAAATTTTATTAAGAATTTAACCATCATAAATTATCTATTTTAGGATGTTATTGTCATTCTTCATTTTTTTTAATCACAATCTTAATTGATTTTGTCATATTAATGTCAGCATTAATCATTAATCATTCTAAAATAATTACTCCTCTATCTTAAATTATAAGTTATTTTTAGATAAAATTAAATATATCAATAAAACTCATAAAATACACTTTATATTTTTTAAAAAAATATAAACTTTTAAAAATATTTTTCATTTACTACTTCATTTATGAAAAAATATTAAAGAAAGAGAATATAATAGAAATGATAATATTAAAAAGTTATCATTAATAAACTTTATTTTTATTAAAGTGTCTTATATTTTAAAATATTTGATATGAAGAAAGTATAAAATAAAATAAAGAAAAATTAGCATATTTTTGCTACCCAATAACATCTCAATTTAAAATGAAAAAGAAAAGAGAAAAAAAGAGGAAAGTGAGCACTATAATAGAACAGAAAATGGTACAAAATAATTCATAGAAACATGTCTATATTTAGGCAGAGCAGGTACATCAATATTATTTATAGTATGTTCAATTAAAATGTTACATACTAGATTTCTTATATTAAATATGTTTAAGATAGAACACTTTACTAAAATAGCTTAAATCATTTGGTTAAATACTTTCTAAATTTATATATTTATGATTTAGCTTTTAATATTATATGTGAGACTTTCTTTCAAATTCTAATACTCCAAGTAATTTAAATAGAATCTGTTGACATGTTTTTAATTAATTTTATTTTCATAAGAGAAGGAATATTTATTTTTAAACTTTTTTTTTTACTATCATTAATATTAAAATTAATTTATATTTAATAATATCTAAATATTATATTTTTATTGAATAAAAATGATATGGTGTACTTAATCTGTCTAAGTATTTTTCTTTTAGGAAGTGTGCCCAATAGGTAGGTTTTTGTACATTGCTTTCTTTGTCAACTATCCTAATCTTAAATGCTAAGGAAGGTTCAACAGAATTTCAGCTATTCCTTCTTCCAGTGCTATAATTGACATTGATTGAGATTTTTTTTTTTAATGGGAGGCCACATAAAGACTGTGCTAACCGACATATTGAATTATGTTAGCGTATAAAAAATTCTTACAACCAAGGAACGAAATATCAAAATAAATACATTAAAATTATCAGTAAAAAGCTTGATGGGTCAATCAGTCAGTGCATGTGTTCACTTCTCCTGCAACCAAGGAATGTCGATTGAGATTTGTTTCTTTACTTTCTTTTCCCGTTTATCTTTTTGCTCCTTGTAATATTCTTGAACGCTGGTTTTCAGTTTCAATACGCGAGTACATTGTTTGATTTAAAAAAAAAAATCTCGTTGATGGTGTTCTTTGAAAGAGTTTTACTAGAGTATTGTGAATAGATATTAATTAGAGTCCTTACCAATAAATCATGGTATTGGAAATAAAATTGAGTTTTCTAATAAAATCAATACTCCATCTTTTTTTTTCCCCTTTGGGATTACAAGTGAAGGCAAAAGCATACATTTTGAAAAAGAAAAAAAATGTAACAAGTCAACTTAGATCTATAGGACCATGACTGAGGTTGTAACCCATGAAGGCAATACACTCTACAAATGGTTCCAAAATCATGTTTAACTATTAGTTTGGACTATGTGCATTTCATGTAAGTTGAGTGATACGAATGTGATCTACTTTTTTGTTTTGTAGAAGAGGTTGTGAGATTGAACTCCAAAGATGTGTGTCACGATAAGCCATTGAGAATTCGATTATTGAAAAAATTGTACTACTAACATATCTTATTTTGAGTTAATTGGGCTTGAAAGAATCCCACTTTCCACCCCCCCACTAGGAAAACTTAGGGAATAAAATCTAAGAAGAGGGAGAGTGGATACCAATCAATTTATGTATTGCCATGAATTACGCTGCTACAATTAGGTTCTTCACGTAGTTGACAAAACCATCCACATAGAGCATGACCCAACCTGTTTGCAGGTTCTATTTAGCTTGCATGTCCTTTATGAACCCCTCTAAGTAATTTCATCATAGCTTTGAATTTGACGTCTTCAAATTCATCATACCACTTGGGTGTGAAAAAAAAAAAAAATAACATTCTCTTGTAAATTGCTCTCATTTGAGTACATCTTGGCACCTAACCTTCTGTAAGTTGCTCATCCAATTAATTTTATCATAGCAAACACTCTGCCATGATATAAGGAAAAAAGAAGTTATGTAAGAAGGATTTGTTAGGATGGAGGATGTTCTTGATCAATCGAGTTCATATTCAACTTCTAGATATCAATTTAGAGGAATGGAATTGAATGTGGAAGTGTACCTGAATCTGTTGTCTTGATTCAATTTTTGAATTCACAAATGGGCATGTTTTTTTCAATTGTCACCAGAGAGAATTTCTGAATGTTTCCAACAAGGGGAATGGATGATGTTGCAATTGCTCGGCCAATTCATGACCACAACCCCAATTTATAAATTTAAGTTTGTAATATTTACAATTTGACCCCTCAACAAATATGAATATTATTCTTGTCTCTACACATTAATTCCACACCAATACATCCCTTAAGTCTTAAAACTTTAATCTAAATAGATGACTTTATCTATGTTTAATTAAATAATGGCCACACTTTTTTTTATGTTTACAAGTTTAGCTGCATATGTTAAATTTTATTTCAACAAGATTAACTAATCATAGCCAAGCACCACTAGCCTCAGTAAAGCCTATGAACAAAGAAATCAATAAATTGCAGCCAAAGAAAAAGTTACAATCTTTTCATGGATAGTTAGGATCTGTTTATTTTTCTATTTTTAAAAACTATTTTTTATTTTTGAAAATAAAAAAAATTAAAATTTGTTTGAATAAGTGTTTTTTCATTTAGTGTTTTCAAAACTATTTTCATTTTTTGTCTTAAAAATAAAAAATAGAAACAATTTTAAGTCATTTTCATTTTAGTTTTCTTGTTTTAAAATATACGACATTTGGTTATTGAAAATTATAGTTATCTTCATCATTTTTATTATTAATCACCATTATTAACTACTTATAATTATCACTATCAGTTCATTTTTTTTAACTCTAAAACTATTTTTTAATTGATATAACCAAAAAAAAATTTATTTTATTTTGTTTCAAAAATAATTTTAAAAATTGTATTATAAAATAATTTTTAAAAATAAAAATGAGAAGAGAAATCAAACAAGCCCTAGTTTTCACATCTTAGTCCGATTAGAGAAGCTGATTTGTTATGTTTCTTTTCAATATATACATAGCTTTTAAATAACAACTAGACTTTGACCCCTGCTATGTATGGGAATATGATTTTTTTACTTGTTTATAAGTATTGTAAAAACTTACTATTTGAGATATTTTTTAAATATTTGTGAGGATTTTTTTATCATTTGAAGGGTAAGCATAAAATAAAAATAAAAATTTTAAAATAATTTATTTTTGTGTACTTGTGATATGTTATTTTATGCATATTTAAATTTAAATAAAATTTATTCTATTTTAAAATTTATTTTATTATTCATTCAACTATAGATGAGCGGTAATAATTTAAAAGATAAAATAAAAAAAAATTATTTTTGTGTACTCAAAATGACATATTTTGTTAATTTATATAAATTAAAATTAAATAATAATTTCTTCTATAATAAAAATTAGTTTGACCGTA